TCTCTCTCTCTCTCTCTCTCTCTCTCTCTCTCTCTCTCTCTCTCTCTGTCTCTCCCTCTCCCTCTCCCTCTCCCTCTCCCTCTCCCTCTCTCTCTCTCTCTCTGTGTGTGTGTGGGTTTTCCCCCCATTTATTTATCTATTTACTTATTTATTTCAAAACAGGGTCTCTATAACTCTAAACGGCCAGGAACTCATTCCGTGGCCATAGACTGGCCAAATTCAGTTTTGAAATGCCTGAGACACATATGCTTGCAAAGTCCTAACGGAAGCTGCTTCAAAGGCAAAAGCACCTACAGCGAAAAGCAATGTAGACTAGAGCTGAACCACCTAATGTGACATTTATCTATCTGGAGTCAGGTGGTAGAAATCCTGAGAGCAAATAAACAGGGGTGTGGGAGGCAGAAAGCGCAGGCCTTTAACTTTTGGGGCGTTTGAGCCCCATGGACGAGGATCTTTGGCAAAAACATAATTTCTTGGACTTTCAGTCTCCTGTCTCACTCTTACGAGCGGGTGGGGGTGGGGTAGGGGGAAAATTGCTGCCAGTCTCAGTTATCCAGTAGGCCTCCCTGGGGGGATAGCGGTGAGGGAAGGGAGCTAGCTAGTCGACCACACAGGGTGGTCTGCACCTCCTCCAAAGCAATCAGCGTGGCTCAGCTCAATTCCTAGTAGTTGGGCGCTCAGAGGTAGCTCGTGCTGGTGCTCTGCACCCGGCGGCGGCGGTGGTTTGTAGCAATTTTGCAGCTGGTGCAAGCTTTTGCGCTCAGAAGAAGCGCAGTGGATGGAGTTGGGGGGACAGTGGGCGTGGCTACGCCGCGTAGCGCCCTCTCCCGCCCACGCAATCCTCGGAAGGTTCTGAAAAGTATCCAAAAGTCCTGCACTAGGCGGGCCAAAAGGAAAAAAAAAAAGGTACAACCCCCCACCCACTCCCCGAGCTCTTCATTTGGACTACAGGTCGAGCTGCGGCGCGCCCGCCTCCTGCACTCCTTCTAGGGAGCTAAGCAGCCGGCTGGGTGGATCCTTGAGCAGGAGACGAAGCTCCATGCCTAACGACGACGCATTCGGCAAGCCCTCTACACCGACGGAGGTTCCTCACGCTCCCGGGGCCCCGCCGCAGGGCAAAGCCGGAGGCTACAGCAAAGCTGCTGGGGTGATGGCCGGAGCGGCTGGGGGCTCCAGCGCGGGGGGAAGCGGAGGTGCCTCGGGCTCCGGGCCGTCGGGCCTGGGCTCTGGAAGCAAGAAGTCCCCGAGGCTGCCGAAATGCGCTCGCTGCAGGAACCACGGCTACGCGTCGCCGCTCAAGGGCCACAAGCGTTTCTGCATGTGGCGGGACTGCCAGTGCAAGAAGTGCAGCCTGATTGCCGAGCGACAGCAGGTGATGGCCGCGCAGGTGAGTGTGGGCTCCCGGGGAACAGGGACGCGGCTCTCCGCGCTACCGTCGAAGTTAAGGGATGGGGACCGCCGACGGACGCCGGCTCGAGCGAGCCGGGGCTTCCAGACGCCGGGGTGGGGGTGGGGCGGCGGTGGAGGGTCGCGGGTTCTATCTGCTTGAATCCTGAGGATTTTTTTTTGGGGGGGGGGTGTTCCCGGCTATGATGCGGGGTTCGGGCTGCACACGCGCACCCTGGCCTTCGGGAGCAGAGTGGCTCCATTAACTCTGCTCAGGGCTCCTTTATTTTGACCCCGTCTTCCATCTGAATTTCGGGGTTCGCCACGCACTTGGGCCCCCACGGTCTTCAAGGGCGCTCTGCGAGTCGAGTCGCGAGATTCCCGAGTCAGAAGACCCCGGGACCAGGAATGTTTGGGCATCGGTGCGAGCGTCCCGAGATTCAGACATTGCTGGCAAACTGGCGGGGTTTGCTCCACTGGGAGGGCTGCCATGATTTTAAACTACCTTCCAAGCTGAAAATTGAGGGGTTCGCTCCTCTGGGAAGAATTCTTATAGCCCCGAACCCCTCGTTACACAAATAGAGAGTTGCGGGGATTTGGGCCCTAGGGTCCCTG